AGGGGGGCAGCGCTGGGCCGCGCCCCTTGCCCGGTTCCTCAGTGAGCGGGGCCGTCCGGTACCGGCCCGTCCTCCTGCCCCTACGCTTCTAAGCACCCTGTTAGTCCCGACGGTGCCTTTTTGCGAACCCCTGGGGTGGGCTGAGTGTAAAGGACCCGGTTTGTGCCGGATTCAGCTGCAGCTTAAAGTCATTTCGGGAGCTCCGGGCTTCCCTGAGCTGAGGAGCCTCTCCGTAGCGCTTGCCGACAGCCCTGAATGAATAGCGGTACCGGTGAGCGACTTCTGGAAAGCTTTCTCAAGTGTACTGCTGTCAGAAGTTTGGGGGAAGGCATAACGTGTGAATTATCTCGTTGTTTTTCCTTTCATATTGCCAGATCGTTTGGCTTGCCCGTGTGGGAAGGTTGGCCACTTCTGAAGCCGCAGGGAGCTGTGGTTTGGTGCAGCGTGGGCTGACGATACAGAGGACAGCACAGGAATATGGCTTTGGGGTTTGACCCCAGCCCTTACCAGTGGATAACCTGCTTGTGAAAGTTGCAGTGTGGTTTTTACCCCTTGCCTGCTGTATCCACGCACTAGATTTTTGTAGCGTTGCTTTCCTCAACTCTAGAGGCAAAGGTCCTTCATGGGAAGGATTTGAGTGTCTGGCTGCTTGTTTTTTTTTCTTGGGCAATGCAAAACTTACTGGTCTTTTGAATGTTTTTTAAGTAAATTTGTTCTCAGGGTTTGTTTAAAAAATTGTTTTTCTCTGTTGTGGAAAGTCAGGCCTTTTATACCCCAGATGAACAGACACACTGGCTGCATTGATCCCTTAACCTGACGCTCGGATGCAAACGTTTCCTGCTGGTAAGCAGGCTGCTTAGTGAGAACTTCAGAGATTTTCCTGGACGCCGGCCTTTTTGTGGGGAGGAAAGTGCCTGGCAGATGTGTAGGGTGACTTGGGGGGTACAAGGAGCTGCAGTTAACTCCGCTAATGGTGTGAACGATCTCCTTGATTTTTAAATGATAGCTCTGCAGAGGGTTTCGGACACGTTATAAGCGATTACGCTGCCAGAGAGAGGGCTGTCATAATGAGGCTATTGCAGTTTGCCTAAAAATTGTTGCACTCTTACTGGTGTGTGTTAAATCATAGGGGTTGGAAGTAACCTCCCGCGTGTTATGTTATTGTTCCCCCACTGGTTTGCAGGATGGGCTTTGTTTTCACGGAACCATCGCTAACACAGCTTTATTTTTGAGCATTTAATTTTATGCTTCTAGGTAGTGCCTGTAAGTCGTGATGATCTCGCATGCTCCAGACATACCTTCCTATGTGTCCAGGGTGGACTTTTTCCAATCTTCAAGTCCCACAGGCATATAATCCCTTCATATTTTTGAATTTCCAGCTCCTCGTTACTAAATTGGAAAGTGCTGTCTGGGCTTTGTGCTGGTAATGTTGGATTTCCGATAAAAATGCCCTCACACTGGGTCGATAAGCAGTTTGTGATCCAGGGCATTTCACTGCCAGAGTTGTGGCACGGAAGTGAAGCGTGTCTCCTATTGTAGTGACTTTGAAAATATGAGGTTAGATTCCGTATTTTCCAAGGATGTTTTGTGGGGGCAGGCTTGGCCACCCGCATTTCATTTCTTTGCTCTTAGCCTTCAGTTTGCGCGCTACCGGTGAGCGACTGTAGCAATCCCACCGAGAGTTCTGTTTGTTCTGCAACAGCATACGAAAAACACCAACCTCTGTTGCTGCAGACGGTTGTTTTGGCCACGGGCTGTTACGGTGCGAGGCCGTCTGCTGCAAACCCGCTCTCGGTAACCCCCGTGCTGAAGCGTGTGGGTGCTGTAGGTCCACGTGAAGAACAGCTACATTTCAGCGCAGTGCTGAGGCTGGCAGCTATGGCTGCAGCTGCAAAAACAGCAAATTTTTTTAAATATTTTTTTTTTTTTAAAAGCAGGTTGCTTGGTGGTTTCTTCAACAGCACTTCCCTGACTCTACCACCCTCTTACTGCTCTGTGTCCGTCTCCCAGCTCTGCTGGCCGTTGGTCCGGATGCTGAAGGGACACTTGTTTGGTCTCCTAGAATTGGTAGTGTCCTCACTGCGTGATGGAATGAGCCCCAAAGAAGAGAAGGACCTTGCTTTAGGTGCCCCAAAAAGGCACAGATGAGACAAACAAGTCACCAACTGCTGGTTATGCAACTCCCGGTCTTCCCGTTGAATTTTAATCCTCCCGGGCCACCCTGGGGGAGGTTCACGTTGGGCTTCTGGTACTGTGGGGAAGCAAAGGCCAAGCAGATGAGCTGTTTCACTTGGGGCTGCATAGAGAGTTAATCCCAGGCCATAAACACAACGTCAGCCTTTCTGGCTCGCAGACGTGTGCTTAATTGAACAGCTTATACAATTACACAGATACAATCTGAACCACCTGGATGTTGAGGGTGTTTTGCCCAGAAGGCTGTTCCTTTCTGGATAATCTTCCGTGGAAAGCAGTGGATACGCCACTTTCCAAAGTCCTTTGAAGCCTTTGGGACAAAATCAGGAGGAAATGACAAACAATCTTCTTTTGGCCCCGGGAGGGAAGTGGGATGGATGGATAAAGCAGTTTTCATTCTCATTTCTGTGACCAAGACTGATGCGTTCGTCATTCCTTGCGCAATTTGTCCAAACCCCTTTTGATTTGTTTTCCTCTTTCTATCCCTCAGTCGTTCCTTCTGTTTACACCATCTACATGGGAAAAGATAAGTACGAAAGTAAGTACATTAATGTAATGATACCTAAGGAATTGGATTTAGATTTGGGGGAGGTTTAAGATCATTTTGAAAGGACGCTTTTGTATGTGTTAACTTCAGATATTCTTTGAAATCTTGTTTCAAAGCAAGTGATTCTGGCTTACCCCTCTGAAATCCACTGCGTTACTCTTAGTTAGGATAAATACATTTTGTAAATCCTCTAGGCAGAGTAACTGCCTTCAAATACAAGTGAAAACGAAATTAGCTGGGAAAAAAACTGTCTAGAGGAAAAAAATACTGGGTTTCAGGTTGTGCCTGGCACTTTTTGCAAATCTACCTTCTGTTTCCCTGCTCGGTCACTGTATTTTTCCCCTCTCCAGTGAGCGTTTGTACTCTGTAGGTTTCCCGTGCCTGTCCTTTCCCTCCTGGTGAAGGTCACGGTTCTGCTGCGCCTCCTGTTTCCCCAGCAGCAGTTGGTGGGAAACCGGGAATCTGGCTCCAAGGGAGAACTGTTAGCATGGCTATTTTGCAGGCTTGCCCTGAAAGTCTCCCCCTGTTAGACTGATACTTGAAGAAACCTATTTTTGCTTAAAAATTTCAAAATTACGTGGCAGAGGTGTTCCTGGCGTACCTCTTTCTCTGCCATATCTGCAAGCAGGCAGGTGCAGCGTTAAAGCCCTTTTCTGTCTCTACGCCAGGGGAAGGTGTCTGCTCTTGTCAGGCAGTTTGATTTGGTGTGGATGAGGCCCTGGGCTTTGCTCATCGGTACTTTTCTTCCTACAGATGAAGACCTAATAAAGTACGGCTGGCCTGAAGATATCTGGTAGGTACTGAAACAAATTGCCTTTCGCTATGCAACCGAGCCGAATGATCCTAACAGCCCTGTCCCTTCCGCAGGCGCTGTGGAGTCTCTTTTTTTCTTTTTTATTCCCCCTTAGCAGTTTAAATGCAATCCCAGGGTGGAGGTGGGTTGCAGCAGACCCAGGTGCAGCAGTTGGGACCCCGCTGATTCTGAATTCATTCCCCTGCATCTCCCCCTCCATTCCCCGCTTCATTCATCGTGAGAGCTGGTCCCTTTGTGAAGCTTTTTGGGGTTTATCTGTGCATGGAGCTGCTGGAGTAGCAACAACTCCATACATGGATATTTGTGTTTCAGAATATAGGTGCTGGCTTGCTGTTGCTCGTAGCGTGGTTGGGAAATGGGCAGAGTTAAATGAGAAGGGCAGCTTGGTGTTTGTAAGTGAGCATCTCCCGAGTCGAGCGAGAGTTGTAGCTCCTGGGTATCCCCATGCACAGACAAGCGAAACCTGGAAAACCAAAAGACTGACAGAGGACCAGGGGGGTGGAGGCATGAACACATGAAATCGTGGAGCAGTCAGACGGGGCCTGGGGATGGAACTGCAAGTTTTTTGAGTGATAGTAAATGCTGTGGCCAGAAAAAACTGTTGTCTCACAGTGTCTTTTCCTCCACGTGTGCTTCGTGTCCCCGCTGTGGGCGAGTACTGGCCTGGCCTGTGAAACAGCCATTGCTGTCCCAGGAGCTGGAGCTGGTGAGCGGGAGCAGAGGAGCTGGACATTTCAACTCCTGCCAGGTGAAAGCTGTGTCTGCTCTAAGCAGACCCACTAGAGCCATGGCCAGGCGGGCAAAAGGGAGTGCTCCGACATGCATGGGTTGGTTTTGGCTCGTGAGATCTCCTCAGAAGAGAAATCCAAGAGCAGAGGAGTTCCCCATCCTGGTAGCAGCAGTTGGTGGTGTCTTTGCTGGCTGGATTAGTCCCTGCAGTTTCCAGACCGATCAGGTTTGTGAGATGGTTAGAAGGAGTTAGCTTGCGTTCAGGCACGGACCAGACGTATCACAGCTGCTGCCCTCTCCTTCCTTACCAGCCGTGGGTCGTGCCCCTTCTCGCTCTTCAAGGTGGCCTTTGCCAGGATGAGCTGGAGGTTGAGTTGGTAGTAGCTAACACACCCCGTAGAGGACGTTTTGTCAGCAGTCAGCAGCTGAAGAGCACTTTGTTGTAGCAGTATCACCTTCGTTTTCTGTCTCATGTTTATCCTATCCCTATGTAATTTAAGGTATGCCTATACTGTTAGTTAGGAGTGACCTTGAGATTCGTCCTCAGATTGCCTGAACGATGAAAGTCGTCTTTCCCCATCTCTTCTGTATCTTGGAGCTCACATCAACATCATCCATGTTGCTTTTTTTTTTTTCATAGAATCATAGAATGTTTTGGGTTGGAAGGGACCCCTAGAGGTCATCTAGTCCAACCCCCCCGCAGGAGCAGGGACACCGCTAACTAGATCAGGCTGCTCAGAGCCCCATCCAACCTGGCCTTGAATGTTTCCAGGGATGGGGCCTCCACCACCTCTCTGGGCCACCTGTTCCAGTGTTTCACCACCCTCATTGTAAAGAACTTCCTCCTTATATCTAGTCTAAGTCCTAGTGCCATCCATCAAAATACCGAAGGTCCTCTTGCAGAGGCCTCCCGGGAGTCGTTCTCCTAATGGTGTCTGGCACCTTTTAGACTTAACTCTGCTTAAGAGGGGTCCAGTGGAATTGGGGTAGGAGGCTCAGGAGGTACAAGTGAGAGTTCATATGTTGGTGCTTGAGGGTTTTCTGTCTTGCAGCAGGAAGGAAAAAGTCCCATTATATTAAAAAGAAAATGGTGTAAAGGTTGGGAGGTGGCGTGAGATCAGTTTCCCCCCTTCCGTCCTTGGAAGTTTGCAGGGTTGGAGTGAGTGTGGATCAGGACAGAGGCTTAAAAAATGGGTGATCATGGTAGAAGTTAGAAAAGGGCTGGAGAAGAGCAACAGGGGCCGTCAAGGAGCTGAACAGCCACACTGTGCAGAGGGATTGGAGAGGAGAGGACTCTTCAGCCTGGTGGGGAGAGGGCGGGGGGGGGTGATGGAGGCTTAGGAAGGCTTGGAGGCAGCGGATGAAGGCAACGCAGAACTGCTGCGCGCCTGCTGTCAGGACGGGTACCTCCATGGACTATTCTGCTCAGAAACTGGCAGGTTTTGGTTTTGTTTTTGCTCTGTGGGCTCGAGACCAGTCATGTAAGCGCTGTAACTAGCAGTGCCTGCGGCAGGGTTCACCAGTTTCCTGTTTCTCTTAAGAATAAATAGACAGCCCGAACCGCCACATGCATAGGCTCATCGGGTGAGTGTTGCCTGCATGTAGTACAGCATTTAAAAGAAAAAAAAAAATGGAGGGGGAAAGGGCTTTTATTTTTTCGGTCTTCCGTTGAGACGACTGATGTTTTTTGAAGCGTAGGCTCTGACTCCCTTGCCTGCTTTTAAACGTGTGTATCATGAACGTTTCTATACTTTTGTTGTCCCGCTGTTTTGTCACTTGCTAGGATGTAAATCTTTCGGAACAGACCATGCATCCTCTGTTAAATGTGCTTTTTTTTTTATTCTGTAGGTTTCACGTGGATAAACTCTCTTCCGCGCATGTGTACCTTCGCTTGCACAAGGTAATCCTGTGACACGTGAGTTAAAAACATTAACATCCACCCGTGTAAGGACTGCATGCACCCTTTCTGCAGTGATCCCTGCGCACAAAACCGTCTTTGCTCATGTGCAAAGTCTGCAGGGCTCCCTGAGGGTGCAGGTAACCACCGGTGTGGGGAGGCTGAACCTGCAGCCTCCGTTACCAAATAACGCGAGGACGAGCGGGGAGCTTAATGTGGCCCCGATGGGACGATTAATTTCTGGCTGGACGCCGAGCTTGTGTCTAGGAACCATCGCCCCACTAAAACAGGGAGAACACCTTTGAGAAAAGCAGGGTGCGAATAGCTTGTGCCTCTCCTTACAAATGCCATGGAAGCCTCCAGTCTTGTAAAATGTGGAGCGTGGAGGTGTATTTGCAGAGCATCGTGCCCTGCATTGCGGCCGTGGCTGATCTTTGTGCACTTGTCAGCCCCT